CATTTGTACAAGACAAATAAATGAATATTGTTGTAACTGTAGTAGTCAAATACTAAACATGTGTCTTGGAAGACGTATTGTCACTGACATCTGCTTCAAATAAATCCCAAGACCCCCCCCCCCCCCCTTCAAGATGAGATCAGGTAAGACAGTTGTTGGTTTTTTAGCACCAATGTTATCGTAACTTCAATTCTCTATTTTTAAGCAAATTTTTGCCATTTTTGATGAAAATTTTTATTTTCAACGTCTTCTTGAGAACTACCAGACGATTGCATTGATACATGTATGTTATATTTAAGTAACTTGGGTGGACATCTATCAGAAGTTGTGCCATTCTATACATGTATCATCAGTTCTATATATTTGGCAAATATTTTTGTATTTCTTGATAAAAAATTATATTTTTGAATTCTTCTTGAACACTACCAATCTAATTGCTTTGATTTGCTGTATACATTATTTTTGTGAACAATTTTGTTCTCAACTTGGCTACCACAAAGTTCTTTTAGAACATTACATTCAGGTCTGAGCTTATCTAGTCATTTAGATTGCTTTAAACTGTAGGCTAGCATACATTGTAGCTTGCTTTCAAAACTGACACAGTTCTAACTATATAATAACTCAAAGATTGTCACAACAAATTTTTTTTATACACCTGGTCAGTTTTGTAATAATGACGTTTTTTCCATTCAACGTTTCACCCTAGAATTTAGGGCTTCTTCAGGAAAAATATTGTAAAACAAATAGATACAGTGTGTAAATGATTGTGATTGAAAATGGTACAGTGAAAATAACGTGATTACAAGTATAATGTATTTACAAAAATAATAATAATACAGAGACTTACCTCTGTTGGGTTGCCTTGAGATGTAAATTGGCATAACCCATACAGAGGGTGCACACCTATTTATAGGTGTACTAGTAATAGGTGGCGCTGTTAGATAAATATGCCCTCACTGGCGGATGTTAATGCCCAGTGGTGTGTGTGTAGTAAATTTTCTTCTAAGGTGGTCGTCTGTTTTGTTAATTTTTTAGTATGCCAATAAATGAAATCTCGTCTATGTCATGGTTGGTTTTATTAATTAATATGCATGGCTACTGGTGTGTCCTGGTTGTGTCTCACTGTCGATAGGTGGTTATTAAATCTGGTTCTGAGCTTTGTCTTTGTTTCGCCAACATATTGTTTTTGACATCATTTGCAAGTGATGAGATAAATGACATTTCTAGTTGTGCAAGTACTGGGGTGCTGTATGGTATATACTTTGTTATTTATGGTGCTATGGAAATTTGTAGTTTTATGTGAAAATTTGCAAACATTGCAACCCCTCTTTGAACCGCATTTTGTGAAACCAGGTGGGAGAGTCAGTTTTTTAGTAGGCTGTGAACAAGAATATCCCGGAGATTTTTGCATCATGGTGACTTTTGTAGAATGTGGAAGTGAGAGTGTGTGATTTGTTTAATATTAGGATGTTTTGGATTAAATGTAGTTACATGTACGAGTGGTACACAAGAATCACTTTGTTTAGGTTTGTATGATATGTTTTCTCTTGGTATTGTTTTGGCACCGATTAGTTTCCATACCTGGTTACTATCTCTGATGTCTGTAATTGAATGTTATTTTTATGCACAAAAGATTACAATTTTTGGTTTATGTGCATCTCTATTCTTAACTGTTGGACATCCAAGTAAAGTACAACAAACAACTAAACAATCAAGTGATGACATATGTAATTAATTTCAGAGTTTTTATTGTTTTATTCGATGTTACAGTGATACAGCCAAGTGTAATGCATAAATTATGTTAATTAGGATCAATCTACATCAGCACATGGTCGGTATTGACCAATCAGTGTTTGTTTAACTTCTGCTCGCGTGCAGTTCAATTTCTGTTTTTTACCATGTTCCTGTTACAGTCATACATTTTCTTACCGCTGTATTTTACTGGAGTCATTTTCAAAATAAATAGTATACAGGTTGTGATTGTATCATTATCGGAAAACCTTACCATCTGTATTTCTGTGACACTGTTCACAACATTCTCGCCAAAATCAAGCTTATTTCAGATCACAACATTCCTGTACATTGTAAAGCAGTATTAAGTAATTGAAATGCTAGAAAGATCAACTTGTTGCATCTAGCCCTGGGTCTTATAGTTTTATACACTTTATACATGTCTGAAATCTGATGTATGGTTTGTTCATTTTGTTACGATAGAGAAGTTGTACTAAGCAATGTTTTCCACTGAGATCAAAATATTCATGACCTGCATGCTAGAAATGGTGTTGGTCCTGCATGAAAATTGCTGGTCACCAATAAACATATGATAAATTGTACAGAACATAAAAATGGACTGATAGAGGCGAACTCTATGTAGTTTTGATGAACCAAAGATAAATTTGTCGCTATAAAAATATTTGTTTGTTGATTTGAACAGTGTTTATCATCATAACAATAGACTGAACAGAAGCTGACCTGCTGGGCCAACATGTTCTAGAATTTGTCAGTCCTATTGTAAGTTTGAGGCATCCCAGTAATCTGCTTTAGTTGAGAGCAATTCATCTCCCGTCACCGTGACAGTGTCATTTCAAATAATAAAACCAAGCTTTCATGTAAAAATGTTGCAAAATTAAAAATGTGCAAGCATGCACTCACACAAAAACTACCACAACCTGAGACATTTGTAAAATTAAAAATATAACCAAATGTATTTCAGATCTTTGGGATCTATTTAAAAGTACAAGTACGCTCCCAAAAATGCTACAGGATTAATAATAATTACGGAGTAGCCTACATTTTACCACTAACTGGTCTGTATAGGTAAAAATTGACTGTGATCATTGTGTCAAATAAAAAGAAAATAATGTATTTTCAGGTGTTTTTATTTACCTGCTACCGGTATATCAATTCTTCACACAAAATGCTGGGCTGTAAGTCATCTTATTATTTTATTTGAAAAATGCTTCTGTATATAGACCTGCAGCATCTTGGTGATGATAATTGCAATACTACTGGTAATTTAAATAACAAAAATTAGATTTGTCTGTGTCATGTGTCTATCCCTATTTTGTGTTCAATGTTACCAGAAACATACTATTTGTTCCCATTCAGATGTAGTCCAAAGATGGATCTCAGTCATGCATGGACATATTTCATTCAAACTTGTATGTCCATTGATCATAATGGGTTCTTGATGCAAGTCATTTTTTTTCCAGCAGATTGCTTTGATTTGAGGTGTACATTATTTTTGTGAACAATTTGTTCCTGACTTGGCTACCTTTTAAAAATTTGGTCTGAAATTTGTAACTATAATTCAATGTGTTACATGTATGCAATCTAAATTTATGGAGGATAGTGGGTTTTTTTATTAGTTTGTCTACTAATACCTGGTAGTTTAAAAACATTTTTTTATGCCACCATTTTTCCATTGAAATGTTGTTGCAATAATGACTAAATATGTAATTTTCTATATTTTCTTTAATCTTGAACCAAATGGATCTAATTTATTTTGGCTTACAGATTACAGTGTTTTCTCCTATCTCTGACTTACAAACTCCTTACTTCTCAGATGCTAATAATCTCGGGAACGAACATCTGGGCATTTTCACCGCCTGATAAACACAACCAGTGAAAACAATGATTGAGGGCACCCATTTTTATGGCAAAACATGTTGAAAAATTAAATTGTGAAGTGTGCCGTATTAAATAAAGCTTTTACTTATTTCTGAAATTCCATTACTGTTCAAAAAAAGGCATTCATACTACCGTATTATTTATATTTGTATCCAAAAACTTCCGGCCCAATTATAGTCCAACTTTTGACAAACTTATAGTAGGAAAACAATACTTTTGTTTCCAGCCACAAATACAAATCCTTATGTAAGAATAGGAATCAAATTGATACACACATGTATAGCAACAAATTTTCTGAAATGTTCCAGGGATAGCTAGATAAATTATAAAATAAATTATAAAGAGTATTGCATATCAAATGCTGCTAAATAAATTACTGAGAAAATTAATTCATATGACTGAGAAAGTACAACAAAAAATACAGAGAAGAGTTAAAAATACTTTTGTTTTAATTTGTTATTTGCCATCTTGAAAATTCTATTATTATAAAACATTTACATGGAAATTAGAATATACAGCACTATTAAATAAAGTACTGTAAAATGACTAATTTTCACTGGGTTTAAATTTAGCTGATTTACCATTTCAGGCATATTCAATGGGTTTTAAATTCACGGTTTTATCATTTAGATAATGTGTTCAATGCAAAATTTTACATATTTACTCAGTTTTAATTTAGCGCATTTTCCAGTCAGCAAAATAAGCAAAATTAAAACCCAGTGAATAATTACCCCCTTTACAGTATACTAGTGTATTACAATATGGTACCTTGCAGTGTACATGTAAATTCCAAGTATTATGCATATTATAGGCATTGTTTAGTGAATTAAATTTAAAAAAAACAAGAAGATAAATAAACAAAACACCCCGGGTACACTCAAAACCAAATGATGCACTATCTAGTAAGAACCAAATTCCTCATGAAAAACTTGCCATTTACTCAAAAAGACTTGTTATCAGTATTTTTCAGTTATTCAAGTTCCCCCCAAAAGTTTCCCTCCTTGACAGACATGTTTGATGGATGCATTACAATTGGCTGTGGATGTAATTATTGTGTCTTATTGACAACAAACAGACAAGTAGATGGCCCCTCCCCCCCGTGTACCTTGTGTGGGAATGCCTAACAATTGTTTCAGATTGAAGTTAAAATTCAACTATTGTTCTCTTGACTTCAATAGTGGGTCATTGTAAAGAGTGGGGACACCCTATCTATTGTCCAAATCAGTTGGCTGTGTTCCAGAACATAGTGGCAGTTACCACTGTTGTAAACGGGCGCTTGGCTTCGTTCCATAGTCCCCTAACAGTGACATTCC